TGTTATTCCTGGTTATATCACCATAAATTTCATGCTGAGTGAGATAAACAAAATGACCAAGCCTTGAACAAAATAACAGTTTGTTTTCAGAGTGATGACAGAGCTGGGTTTAGGGCTCCAACAGTATTTTAAAGTTCCCTCTTCACTAACCATAGATACTTCAGTGGTGAGAAAAAGGTATCAGAACTCAAAAAGCTCACAGCAAGAGCCAGCACTGAGGTTCTGGCCAAGTTCTTTCCACTTTCTTTCATTTGGGTATATGGATGAATATAAATGGATTCTGATTTGATGCTTCTCATTACAGATTCATAAAGTTAATCCAGATTGCCTTCAACCATGGCTTGCAATCAGCTCCAGGAGATGCAAAATTTGTAATAAGTGCTCTCTCTAGTAACACACCATACATTCTCTAACAGAAATCAAGCTTTAAAATAGGCTTTTCCCATTTCCTAAAATTTCATTTTAACTACACTCTCTATTACCTACTACAGTATTTTGCAAAATCTCTGGATTAGAGATTACCACAATCAGATCTGCAGTCTTGTCATCTGTCCATCTCATTTGAACCAGAAATGCTCTCTCACCTTACAAAACTTTATTTCCCTTACTGTATTGTATGCAGAGACGGGCTGTAGAAGCATAACTGAAATGAACAAGCCCAAAGCGTTTATAAACAAGTAATTCTGATACACTGAAGAGAATAAAAGTGCTCTGCAAGGATTAAGTTGGTTTCCAGTATAGTCTGTGGTCTAGTAATTGACAAAACAAATAAATAAAAGGGAGAAATATGTTCAAATTTATTTTTATGGCAACTTCCCCTCTGTTAAGAAAATAAGGGAGAAAATGTGTAAAATATGGCCCTAGATATCATGACACTTAATTCCTTACAGGAAATCAAAAGCCAGTATCAGAAAAAGAATTAATCTTCTTATAATGAATATTTTGGATTTCTTTTCTCTCATATCTGAAACTTGCTGAGAATTAAAATCTGCGCCAATCCTAATTAGTATGCAAATAAACTCTCCCTGCTGACGCTACAGGGTAAAGTTCAAAGGAATTTACAAAGGATGACTGTGTTTTGAAATTTTCTCCATGGAAAGATACCAATCATAAACATGGGTGATCTATATTTCAGGCAAAATACTCTCTATTGTACTTTTGAAATAACTCATTTAAAAATATTAATTAAAAGAAAAAAACATTCTCTTTTGTTTATATTTTATACAGATGTACTTTTCCCCCCATACTTAATATTCACAATAAAATACTTGAGAGCAATTAAGTCAGAAAGGATTCTTAGCATTGATGTTACAAACATCAAAAATTGAATATTCTATAAATTGTTTTATTTCATGAAACTTTCCCATCCTTAGACTTCTTTTGCCTTTTTGGTTCCAATGCAAAAATAAATTTAGTGGTTTTCTCAGTAGTCAGTCTGTATCTTTGTTTCCGTGTTAACTCAAAATGAGTCTAAGTAATCATCTCTCTAATTCTCTGCTCTTCCCAGTTTAATCTACTTATTGCAGAAGATCTAACACTATTCCCCCACTGAAACACATCCCTTAATACAACATCTAAGCCTTCCTTGAACACTTCTGCTCAACCACCTCCCTGGGAAGACAATCTTTTTTTGAAAGAGAACAACATGCTCATCACCCTTAAGTGGTGCAAAGTAAGTCATCAAGGTGATACCATATCTTGTGTTTAGTTAACCAAGGTCTGCCACAGCAGTAGGCCAGAAAAATGAAGGCAAAGAAGCAGCAGAAGGGAAGAAGTCTTTTGAATTGGCATGAAACTAGTGAAAGCCAGCTGTAGTCCTTTCACTTCACTTTCACATCCGAAGTTCTCTGCATCAGATCCTGAATACAAGAAGTCCAATGTGGAATCCAGCTGGCAAGAAACAGCAGTTTAATGCATACTGTTTGTGCAAGTGCCTACTTATAAACATGGTTGATAATACTTAACCGTTTAATGAATCCTCTTCAAAACAGTCTGGTCTGTTAAGGAGCCAAGAGACTGTGATTCTATTTTCAGCTTTACTGAATATCTGATAGGCAGCCACACACAACTCATTTTAATTCTTTAACTCCTGCTTGCATTCCAAAATAAATAATTTTTAATTTATTTTTATTTATTTTACATTGCGGCCTCTTTCAGCCAGGAAATACCTCTAAGTGTCACAATCTCATATCTTAAGATACTCAAAAAACCTGGGCTTAAATGTATTAAAATCCAATTGGAGCTCTGATTTGAGGGCATTTAGATGCCACGGTAAAATCACGTGTAAGTAATAAACACTGGACAGTTCTGCAGTCGTATTGTAGCCTTGTTTTCTCCATAGTAGACATTCCCTTTGTCAGTGTGTGTGTGTGAAAGAAAAGTTGACCAGTACAAATCAAACTCAAAAACATTCTTTCAAACAAATCAACTGGTTCTGAGAGGAGTTTACTGCATCCTGACCATGCCTTGAATAATATCATATGCAAACACCAGATTCTCTCTTTTAAAACCCTATGCTATTCCAGACTGTGCTTTCAAAAGGAAAAAAAAAAAAAAAAAAACCACCCCAAATCTTTTAAGATTCAAGAGCAATTATTTTAAAAGCATTTATGCTAAAGAAAGTACTATTGATCATTGCTCATCAGCTTTCAGCACACGTACAGTACAACAAAAGGAGAACTAAATTGAGCTGTCTAATTGCAAGGGATGCTTTGAATTACCAGAAAACAGTTCAGTAGCTCACCCTGAGAGTGAATACTGTAGATGCATGGCATTCGACATCAGAATTTCAGACTGGATTCCTATCATTAGGGATCTGTACGTATTCCAAATGTTTCACAAGATGCTTTTCACAGGACTACAGAGTATTTTACTGCTAAAAGCTAGTAATTAGAACTTTAGAATGTATCTACCTAATAGAAGCATAAACAAATATACTACATAAATTTGCAGATGACTTGTATTTAAAATTTGGAATTCTAAGCTTAAAAACTTATCAGAATGCAAATTATTTCTGGAATATAAAAATCCTACCTGAACTGAAAAGTGAACAGCATAAAAATTTAACCAATCACTTCACTGTACACTTAACTGATATTTGGAAGGAGATTAAAGATGTATATATTTATGTTTCAAGCATTATACATTTGAAGCCATGCTCAAGTCTCTTAGTTCAGTTGCATTAAAACTTTCTACATTTATTAAGTTAATAGACAGATTTCAAAAGCTAAACAAAACAAGGCCAGTAAAATTATTACATATAATTTAACAACTAAAAAGAACATTATCAAATGCCAAGATTAATTACAGAAGTGGAAACTAAACAGAAAGATTTGCAACACATTGGAAATGAAGTCAAAGCATCTGTCATCGAGTCAAGGTTGTCATTGGATAGGCAGTGCAGAATGCATATGGATGTGATTAAAATAATCCCTCCGGTAAACATATGTAGACATAAAATTTATCAAACTTAAGTACAGAGAGGATTGAAGGAGTAGCCAGCAGCAGATTGACACATTACCTTTCATTTATGCCATAATCAGCATATCTTGTGGCCTAGAAACGCTGTATTTTAGTAGCTTTTATGTATGTTTAATTTTCACACCTCTATTGCCAAGATAACTGTAAAGCACTTGCAGATGCACACTAAAACTGAAGCAAGCAAGGACTGACATAGATATAGCCTGGGAATACAAAAATGTTGAGATTAAAAGAGCCATACTGAAAAGACTCTTCCTCAAGATGTTTATTTGCTTAGTTTTGAAATGCAAAAGTTCACAAATTTGAGCATTTATTGTGAATCAGTTGGCAGAAAATTAAATTATTTACTTTACATCTTTCCATACAAGGCTGGGATAAAAAGATGGACATCAATATGTTTTCTACTTGAAATGTTAATGAATTTGGCCTCCATTTCTTCTGGATGGCCAAGTATTTGGCAGAAATTTAAGAACAACCACCAAAAACATTCAAGTATTATTAAGAGATTCTCATCCCATTCATTCTGGTTTGATATTGGACTACAACTACTGACTTAACTAGAGTGTAAATAAGAGGTAACTCAGGCTCATACTGTCAGTTTTTACATGTGTGTTCATCAGACATGAAAGATCAAAAGATCTTTTGCAGAAGTTGCTCATTTTGTTCCATGGCATTTTAGTAGTGGACTAGTTAGATATTTGCTAATGACAACTTTGATAATGATCAATAAAGGCAGCAGGTGGGCAGTCAGCAGGTTTATGCTCACTGCTGCAAGCAGCAGCTAGAAGCAACATCAAAGAAAGGAACTATTAACAGAGTTATCAGACCTGTAAAAATGTGTTTAAGTAGTTTCACAGAAACTGTTTTCAAAAAATTTCTATTAGCAAAATTGATCACACAAAACCTGAGCTCAGCTATTACATTACACAAATCACTTAGTTATTACAACATGGAGACATCAGGTTCAAGGTTCCACATCAATTGGTTGCCATACATATTATGGTGCAATAACGACGTTGTACACCACTATCTAGGACTGTAAATATAAGAACGGGAATTTAAGCAACAGAGTTAAGTCCAAATTATTTGGTACAACGAGAGGGAATGGCTTCAAGTTGCACTAGAGGAGGTTCAGGTTGGATATTAGGAACAATTTACGTACAGAAAAAGTAACAAGACACTGGAACAAGCTGCTTAGGGAGATGGTGGAGTCGCTGTCCCTGGAGCCATTCAATAAACAGGCAGACATGGCAAGTAGGGACATGGCTTAGTGGGCAAAACTGGTGGTAGGTGGATGGTTAGACTACATGACCTTAGAGGTCTTTTCCCTTCCTAATGATTTAACAGCTCTATGTATTCCTCTAGAAAAGAGACACGTTAGACCATCTAATCATCTCCTAAAGCATGCTGTGCTTCAGGTTGCACTCTGAGCACACACATTTGAATTATCTTTCTGTCAATAATGTGTAGCAACATTGTTTAGTAGTTTAAAAGCACTGCTTATATTGAAATTTACAAACCTCTTGTAGACATTCCAGCAGTAAATTGCATCTTGCTGTCACACTGGCCAAGCTCCTCCCCCTTTGTCAGGATATCCTGGGTGACGTTTCAGTGCTTCCATGCAGAACTTTCCATGCCAGTAAACAAGCTTCACTGCATTGGTGTAATAAAGGGCTGATAAAGAGATAACAAAGATCAAAAGATCACCAAAAAATAACCACATTCTTGATTCATCTCTCCTACTGCTTTCTGGGTATGAAAACAGACTTTTTTTTTTTTTTTTTTTTTGCATATTCAATAAACAATGGCCCAAGTATTAAAAGCAAAAACAATCACATCTGTTAGAAAATTAATTACCTGTTTCATATATGCAGTAATACCAACAAAAAAGATAAGACTGCTCTGAAGCAGCAGTAAATAACATTTACCAGAATCTTGGGAATATTTCCTAAGCAGAAGTGCTACAGATTTCCTTGACTTTTTGTTTCCTCTTATTATTACATTTAAATATATCAGAAAAATCAGCATTTCTCACTCCTTTCATGTTAAAACATACGTGACTTACAATTTTTCTTAACATCACCCAACAACAAAAAAAAAAAAAAAAGAAAAAGAAAAAAAAAGCAGGAAGTAATGATTGTGAGATAGTGAAGTTGTGAAAGTTTTCACTAAGAAGAATTTGTCCCATTTTGCAGTCACTTAATACCAAAGTTTGGTCTTTATTATTGCTTTTTAAGTAGACTCATCTGCAATAAAACAGAATATGTCAAGAAACATGGACATATACAGATCACATTCTATGGGGAAAAAAAAAAACAAAATACCAGCATTATTTTGTCTACAGAGAACAGATTTAGAGAATATCTTCAAAAACATATTAAAAAAATACTGCCGAAAGAAACTGTTTTCCAACTATGGCATACACATGAGACAAAGCAAAAGTACAAGATTTCTACTTGGTTTTGGACTCGGCAAAGATTTTCTAATGTAAGGGTAAAAATGCTAAAGGTATACTGTTCCATTTCCCACAGAACCTCTGGGATGCCTAGTCTAGGTCATCGCAGACAAGATGATGGACTCCTGGAGGAAATGACACTAATCCAGCTCTATTAAGCAATTGGTTTTGAGTTTTTCTGTATCAGGTAATTTGTAAGGTAAATAGCAAATCTCTTTCGACAAAATGGACATTCCTATCATCAAAACAAAAGTCCCTTCTCCAGATGTATTTTACACGTTTATTATTCTACCTTGTTTCCTTGTTCATTTAATCTCATGCATAGAAATTAGCATGTAACATTAAAAAAAAAAAAAAAAAAAAAACAAAAACCAAGCAAATTATACAATAGTTATTCTGAAATCTGTGACACTGAACAATCTGTGCTAGGGAACAGGTTAAAAAAACCTTTTGACTTCATCGATTTTTTTTTGTCAGCTGTACTAATTACAACCCGCTTACAGATTGAGAAGCAAGAAAATATGCTAAATTCATTCACTGAGTTTCTCCCTCTGAGTATTCAACTTCGCATAAGCGAGAAACCACGCTTCTTGAATTGAAAGAATACAGAAGATTCAGAATCTGTAGGGGATGAAAAGTTTTCAAGTACATTTCTTGAAAAGCTTAAACTAGAACACTTGGATTTATTAAACTTTCTACTGGGTCTTTGCACGTAACAGCATCATTTATAGGTAAAGAATTAATCTCATCTATTTAAAAACAAGGATAAAAGAAGAAAACAAAACTAGTTAACAGCTTTTGCCCTTGTTTTGCTTACAAAGAAACAAAAGTGCTTCTGACAGGTTCTCAGCGTCCAGGAAAGTATTCACAAGTAGACCACTAGTCATATGCAGAAAGAAGAGTCACCCAAGAGTTACTAGCACTCACCCAAGAGATGAAGGGGCTCTCTAACTACGCAGCACTCCTCAGGAAGCAGCCTAGGTCCAAAAGAAGTGCTCCCACCAGTGGTTGGCCGTTATATGAGCCCACATGGGCTCCGCTCTGGGTTTACTCCTTCTGGTCACATGAGGAGCACAGGTGCACACAATGTGACTGTGCTCCCTGAGCCAGCTGCACCCCTACACCAGGTGCTCAATCACCAGCTCAAGCTGTGACCTAAGGTTTTCCCTACAGTTCCCATTACCATCACTTTTAATTAACCCATGAGACATCCAAATTAAATTAGAGAAAATATTGTATCAACAGGCAGCACGTGCCAACTCTTGGTCTATTTGATAATAACTTGATAACGAGCATTTACATACACTCTTGATCTCAGCATGGAAAGCAAAAAACATTACACTAGTAGCAGATAAGTTTAATGGTGCAATTCAGTTTTATACATCAATCATACGTCTTATTTTAATGTGGTTTCTCTAACCACACTTATAGGAATATGGAAGCACCAGCAATACGAAAAATTTCTGAAGTGTATAACCTTTCTGAACAGTAAAAACTTTGGCATATGGTATCTCTGCTGCCCTTCTTTTAGCTTAGAAAAAAATCACCTTTCAGTCATCATAGGTGTAAATGAATACAACAAAAGGACTTCATTGTAAAACTAACCAACATGCAAGATCTTGTGGGACATTTTTATCTTTATTTTTTAATTCTACAATAATAACTAAAGTATTCTGATGACTATACTTCAATACTAATTTATAATTAACTTCAGGTGCTTCTTTGATCTTACTGATATATTTTTTCCCATTTTCTTATCAAGAGTCTCCATGCAGTCTGTAATTATGCTTCTTAGTGTGACAGTGAGTTTGACTAAGTAGATGCATTAATACATGCTTTGGGAAAATATTGTTTAAGCCAAAGCAAGCTCTTACCACTGAACTGGAGTATCATCTGAAGCACTGTTGATTAGAAACATATTATATAAGCTCATAAAAGGTTTGCCATAAAAAGTAAAATGTGATTCTCGATTTAAGGTAATGGATGACATGAATACTAAAACTAGTGCCTGCCCAACAATATGCACATTAAAGCATTTAGAGCATTAATATCACAACTCTATAAAAGGCATGTGTCATGTTTTACACATGCGTAGGCTCCTTTTGCTAAAGAGGAAGATATTTCAATTTTTTTCTGAATAGTGAACCAAAGGATTTTTTTTAAGTGTTAAAAGCTGTTGTAGTAAGGCAGCGATACAGCATAATGTACCTGAGGCAGTCAATAAGTAACACAAGGGTGCAGGGCAGTGCAACTCTTTCCCTCAGCTGAAGGAGTAAGCTGTAATTCTCAGAAGACAAACTTTATATTTTTGACACATAAATAAGATGTGCATCTGCAGCAAGGTAACTGAGATTCTCACTTTAAGCATTTATCTGAGAAATACTAAGCAAAATCTGTCACGGAAGTGCTAGGGGCAGCTCATCTGTGAAGACATTAGTCTACAGCTACAAATTGGGACTGATGTAACTTCTCCAGTCAGGAAATGAGTGTTTCACCATCAGGCTGCTCCTAAGTTCAACAGAGACCACAGTTCTAATTACTCATAGAAAATGTGCTTTTCACAATACAGCACTTCTTTCTACAAGCAGAATAAGTGCACTGCGGGCTCTGATAACATCAAGATGCATGAGGAGTTTATAGTGAATAACATCAGTTCCAATTCTTCCCTACCTCTCCTACGGGGTTCTGTGACACACTGCAGAGACAAGACTGCACAGCATCACCTGTCAAGTTCCTTTCTGAAAGGAAGAATCACATCTGATGCACTTGCACAAGCTCCCTTCAGCTTCTGCCTCCTTAAGAGTAAAAATAGAAGTAAATTAACAAACAAGAGAAGAATCAGAACGAGTAGTTCAATTTTGACTGCTTCATTATCACCTAGACTGTCCCCATTTATCTTGCCTCTCCAAAATAGTCACAAAATCATGGTTACAAAGGACCAGTTTATGAAAATGAAATACCGGTAAACACACTTTGCAAAAGAGCAAAAGTGGAAACAACAGCTTCCTGTAAAAGATGAAAAACTTCAAGATTTAAAAAACTTCAAGAATGTGCAAAATTCACAAGCTGAACCTAAGACTGATGGGTGACTAACATGAAACCACATCTTTCTTTTTATTAATTTTCTCTTCCTGCACTGCTGATATAAAACCAAAGTAACACAGACATTAGTTATTTGCTCTGAAATATGTACAGTCACTGTCAATCACAAACATTTTAATGAAATCAATCATAAGAAGAAAAGAATGTTTGAACAGGATCTGCACAAAATGCTGCATGACGATAAAGAAAAAAAAAAAACAACAACAAAGTACTAAAGAGATTACCCAAAACTAAAATGGCTTGTTGCCTCAGGGAATCATGAAAAAGTCTTTTAAGACAGAAAATTACAGTTCCCAGCCAGATAACACAATAGATGTTCATTTTCTTCAAAATGTTCAGTACTATAAGGCGTAAACCAAGAAGACCCAGAATGAAATTGAAATAAGAGTTAAGTGGATGATTTACTACAAGGCCGTGGAGCCTTCTCTTCTCCAAGCTAAAAGCCCAGTTCCTTCAACCTTTCTGTTTAGGAGAGGTGCTCCAGCCCTCTGATCATCTTATCGGCCCTCATCTGCACCCACTCCGAGAAGTTGACTAATTATTAGACAAGACCAATTCATTTTTATTTATTTATTTATTTATTTATTTATTTATTTTATTATTTTCCATCCTGGCTGGCATCACAGCCCCTTCCTGACCCCTGCCTGCCTGCCTTGGCTGGCTGGCTGGAGTCGTGGCCCCTGCCTGCCTGCCTTGGCTGGCTGGCTGGAGTCGTGGCCCCTGCCTGCCTGCCTTGGCTGACTGGCTGGAGTCGTGGCTCCTGCCTGCCTGCCTTGGCTGACTGGCTGGAGTCGTGGCCCCTGCCTGCCTGCCTTGGCTGGCTGGCTGGAGTAGTGGCCCCTGCCTGCCTGCCTTGGCTGGCTGGCTGGAGTCATGACCCCTGCCTGCCTGCCTTGGCTGGCTGGCTGGAGTAGTGGCCCCTGCCTGCCTGCCTTGGCTGACTGGCTGGAGTCGTGGCCCCTGCCTGCCTGCCTTGGCTGGCTGGCTGGAGTCGTGGCCCGTGCCTGCCTGCCTTGGCTGGCTGGCTGGAGTCGCTGCCCCTGCCTGCCTGCCTTGGCTGGCTGGCTGGAGTCATGACCCCTGCCTGTCCGCCTTGGCTGGCTGGCTGGAGTCGCTG